TTTCAACTGACACTCCGGCCAGAGGTTCGGGTACTGACTGCAATCAAGTTGAGGATTTCAAGCGAGATCTTCAATCAAGTGAATCCCATCTAACAAGGACTGGATACTAACATTTTCTTTCTACAGGACCCCACATGACTATCATCGTCCCATTTCAGCAGGAAGTAACTTGGAAAATGCTACGCCCTCTTTCCCCATTGTTGTCACTTAGGATAGTGTATATACCTAGTTAGGAATAGCTTCCTATTGTTTATGACTTTAGGGTTTAGTTATATTTTACCTTTATACTGTTAAGTTTTAATCCTCTTTTAGACTAAAAGGGGAATTGTAGGGGAAGCTGTAGCCACGCCTTCTTAGGGGCTGGCTACAGGAGTACCTGAGGGCTTGTGAGGGCGTGGTCAGAGTGAGTAGGGGGACTGCGTTTTCGGTTTCGGTTTCTCTTTGCTTCTTGCTGTACAGACTACCACCGGCTGGCTGGGTCGCCCTGTAAGTAAGGCTTTTTCCTATTAAATACCCTTATATTTCTACCTGACTCCTTATTGGTAATTTCATACTATAGCAGTCTAGTGCCGGGTTCCTGGCTCTGGGGACTGGAGTGGCTAAGAGTCCAGGGGAGACGGCTTAGATCTGAGGCTGGTGATGGGATCCAGGCCTTACCCAGACCCTTGAGGAACTTATTCACTCCGCTGTGCTCTCCGATGGGCAAGGTTCCTAGGTACTCCTGGGCTCGGACCTCAAACAGACCTGGTGACAACAGACACAGGGGACATATTAGATCCTTAATTTGCACTGCTGCACAAATCCCCTTCCTCTCTAGAAAGGGAAATCTTGCTTCTGAGATGCAGCTGTGCCTATAAACACGCCTTCAAGCCTGTGGTTTATACGTTTTACTATCCCTACGATCTCCCCACCTTGTGTAATAGCTGTGGAAAGTCGGAACGCCTGCTCACACATGAGATCCCATTTCACCCCTGCTACCCTTTCCTCCCAGACAGGGTTTCTCTGTGTAACCCTGGCTGTCCTGGAACTCCCTCTGTAGACCAGGCTGGTCTCAGACTCACAGAGACCCTCCTGCCTCTGCCTCCCTCCCAAGTTCTAGGACTAAAGACTTGTGTCACCACCCGGCTCCTGCTGCCTTTCTTACCAATAACAACTTGTAAACCTGGCTAAAATGCACCCGGCAGCTCTTCTGAAGAGAAGCCTCGAGTGAGGCCTGTCCTTTCACACCCTATAGTCAAATATCTCTTGTCCTGTGGAAATCCTTGTCAGAGTGTGGCTGCCTGTTTCTCCTGTGCACACAGCTGTGGGAGCACAGGGCTTTGAGCTGAGTTCACAGCACTAGGGGCCACAGGTGGGGCCAGCTGCTTCTGGAACCTTCTGGCCTCTGTGTAGCCATACTGCAGAGAGGTAAGCGCCTTCCCTTCCCAGGTTTAGCTCCCATCAAAACCGCCTTTACCAGCGTTCCTAGATTTTAGGTTCCCAGAACAGCCAAGACAAAGGACAAAATGGTGTCTCCGTCATTTTGTGCTCCTTGCTCCCTTTCTCCCTAGAAGCACGATGGAGCCTATGCAGACAGGGACAGGGAGAAGTCAGAGAGAATTCAGAGAAGAGGGAGAAGATGGGCAGGAGTGGATGGTAACTGAACCAGGGTGCCCAGATTATGAGGCGCTAGCCCAAGGCCGCAGGTGCCAGGCCATTCTCCTGAATCTTTATGCCCTCCACAGTCCCTGGGTAGGGAGTAGGAAGAGGGCAAATGGGAAGAGTGGAGGGGTCTGGGAAAGAGAAGGAGCTGCAGAGAAGCAGGAGGGACAGAGGAAACCTGGGAGGAGCAGAGGCGTGGCCCGAGGGCAGCTCCTGTGGAGGCCGGAATATTGTTCTTGCCTGTGGCTTTCCTCCACCTCTTCAGCCACTTAGAGCCTAGGCTGTGCCCTCACTGCCCCAGCAAGGTTTGCGGTGTTCTAACCTTTGGCATCCTGCCTGCGCAGTTCCCGTTCCTGGATGAAACCACGGAAAGTCTGGGTCTCCATGAAGACCTCCAGGAAGCGCCGAAGGCTCTTAGAGGAGACAGCTTTTCTGAAGGCCTCTCGCTGTAGGCTCCTCTCCTCGCCCGATGTCAGGAACAAGGGGTAGTGACCCACAATCTCCACAAAGAATCGGACAAAGGCTTCGGACACCACTTCATTCAAGGGGCTGGACTCAGGGCCTGGGTAAGAGGTACAAAGGCCGTAACAGGAAGGGCAGTTGGTGGGCCAGAGCCCAAGGCAGTCAGTTACTGATCACAGCAACGGCCACTTCCCTCCCTAGCCACCTGTGGCCATCCAAGAGAAAGGCGACTTAAAGTTGTCTTTCCCCCTCCTTTAGTTTCCCCTACATGGAGAAACTCCTACAGTTATTGTTGGAATGAAATCCAGGTGAAGGGTTGAACCCTACTTTTTCACTCAGCCACCCAGTTGTTGCAAAGTCCGGGCATTTACCATGCACACAGTCCAGGGGGCCTCCGTCCTGGTCACAGGCCAGGTCGTTCCTCTGTTCCAGAATGTGTTCCAGGGCTACCTGAAGCTTCCGGGGCAGGATGGAATCCTCGTCCTCCATCTGTAAGGCAGGAGATGCATGTGGGCCCAGCTACATCTAGGTAGCCATGTTCCAGCCATGCCTCCGGGCAGGGAGCTCAGCTCACAGTTGAAACTCTGTGTGTGTGTGTGTGTGTGTGTGTGTGTGTGTGTGTGTGTGTGTGTGAGAGAGAGAGAGAGAGAGAGAGAGAGAGAGAGAGAGAGAGACAGAGACAGAGAGAGAGAGAGAGAGAGGCCTCACTGTGTAGCCCTGGCTAGCCTGGGACTCACTATGTACACCAGGCTGGCCTCGGACTCACAGAGATGCTCCTGCTTCTGCCTCTGCAATTGCTGGGGTTAAAGGCCTGCACCACTACCACTCAGCACTTTGTTTTATGAGTAAGTGGGTGCATGCCTGTATGTGTGTGTGTAGGGATGTGTGGTTTTCTTGTTCCACCATGTGGGTCCTGAGGCTTGAACTCAGGTCATCAGTCTCTGTGTCAAGAGCTTTTATCCACTGAGTCATTTTACCGGCTCTTAGCTCCCAGTGTAGTGGAAGAGACATGCTTAGAGCCAGAGATTTGAGGTTCAAATCTCTTACAAGCTGTGAGAGCCTCAGAACCTTCATTTGTTCGATGGGCCACCAATCAGTACCAGCCTCATCTTAGAGATTACATTTTAAACAGTTCTCTTGTGAAAGTGCGTGGAGTTCCGTGGGTTCTCGGTGGCTCTTTCCCACTGCCCTTACCCTGAAGGGCAGCCAGCACTCATGGAGAGACCTGGCTAGGGTGGGTAACTGGTGCCGGTGAAGCTGCCTTTACAGCTGGGCCTTTGAAGTGAGAGCAGACTGAGCTGAAGGTGCAGGCAACATAATACTCAGCCAAAAATAAATGTGCATTAGTTTCTCTTATAAGGAAAATACTATGACCAGAACAGAAACAGACCAAAGTGCTGAGCACAGTGGCGGAGGTCTCTAATCCCAGTAATCTGGAAGGGGTGGCTTAATTTCCCAGGCCAGGTGAGCCTGGGCTAAAGAGTGAGACCCTGGCTCAAATGGCAAAGTCTAAACAACAAAATTGCCACCACCACCACCATCATTACCACCATCACCACTACCAAACAACCACCAAAAAACACCACCACCAGCAAGCATGTCGCGGGATTTCCGCCTGGGGCCCTCGCCACTTCTAGCACTGCCGGCACCTCCACTGTCAAGAACGCCTATAAACCATTTAAAATCATTCCATTTGTCTCTGGCCTCCTCCCACCACATGCCCAATGTTTTGGTAGGTTTTCCTGTCAATTGTTTTGGGGAGGACTGGGTCTCACTATATATAGCTCTGACTAACTTGGAACTTACTATGTAGACCAGGCTGACCTTGAACTCACAGGGGTCAACCTGTCTCTGTCTCCCAAGTGCTGGGATTAGAGGTGTAAGCTACCATGCCCAGCTTCTGTCAATATCATTTTTTAAGGATTTATTTATTTAATATGTGTACAGTGTTCTGCCTGTATGTATATCTCCATGCCAGAAGAGGGCGCCAGATCTCATGTAGATGGTTGTGAGCCACCATGTAGTTGCTGGGAATTCAACTCTGCACCTCTGAAAGAGAAGTGCTCTAAACCTCTGAGCCATCAATCCAGCTGCTGTCAATTTTTTGTTTTGTTTTGCTTTGTTTTGTTTTGCTTTGTTTTTAGATACAGGGTTTCTGTGTGTAACAGCTCTGGCTGCCCTGGAACTCACTCTGTAGACCAAGCTGGGCCTCGAACTCACAGAGATCCACCTGCCTCTGCCTCCTGAGTGCTGGGACTAAAGGTGTGCGCCACCACCTCCTGGCTTCCTGTCAATATTTTTAAGATGTGCTGACATACGATTTTCTTTCTACTTATTTCTTTTGTCTTTCTCTTGCCTTTTTTTAGAAAAAATAGAATCAGGCTGAGGGAATGATTCATTGGTAGTTTCTTCTCTGGTATGTGCAAGCCCTGGGCGCCATCTCCAGTACCAAAACAAACAAGCAGAAAAGAAATGAAGAAAAATCAGCAAAATAATGTACATAATTTTGGGTCTTCACTCCTTGACGATTTTTTGGGGCGGGGTGGGGGATAAGGCAATCCTCCTGCCTCCTCCTCCCGAGGTCTGGAATTATATATATAAGCGATACCTGGCTTTGGTTTGTTTTTGAGACAGGGTTTTCATCCTGTCTCCTCCTCTCTGCTAGGATTACAGGGAGGTATCACCAGGGCTGACATGTCCTGATTCTTTCTTACTTTTTTTTTTTTCTCCCCAAGACAGGGTTTCCCTGTGGCTTTGGAGGCTGTCCTGGAACTAACTCGTGTAGACCAGGCTGGTCTCAAACTCACAGAGATCCACCTGCCTCTGCCTCCCGAGTGCTGGGATCAAAGGTGTGCACCACCACCGCCCGGTCCAAATATATATATATTTTGTGTGTGTGTGTGTGTGTGTGTGTGTGTGTGTGTATGCATGTTTTTCTGGGAACTGAGTCCTGGTCTTCTGCAAGAGTGGCAAGTGCTCTTAACCTCTGAGTCAGCTCTCCTGTGCCCCTGTTTTAAAAAATTAAGACTTATTTTTTAAGATTCCGTGAAAGTGCGTGTGTCTGTGTATGTGAGAGCAGTACCTGAGGAGGCCAGGCTTACTGAATCCCTCTGAAGCTGTTGTCAAGGTGGCTGTGAGCTCCAATTCTTTACAAGTTCCTATAAGCGGTACAAACTCTTTGCTGCTAATCTACCTCTCCAGCCTGAGTCCTGATTACTAACTGGTCTAAGCCTTTTTGTGTCAGTACAGGTGAAAACCAGTCTTCACTGAAGCCTTCCTCTTTGTTGACTCATCCCTGGCTGGCCTTGGCCTGAGATGGCCCCACTGTCCAGCTAAGCTAGCAAGTCCAGCCCTTCTGGAGAGTTCCAGAACAGCCTCCAAAGCTACAGAGAAACCCTGTCTCGAAAAACAAAAACAAAAGAACACAAAACAAAAATGAGCCCTTCTGGAGCTGGAGTCCAACCCTTGGAAGACTTGAGGGCTCAGGAGAAGCCGGCTGAGCTGGTGTTCTACTCACCTGTCTGAGGAACCGATCATTGATGAGATCGACCACAAGAACCTACAGGACAGAGGAAAGAGAATGAGTATTGTCACCAGGGCTTGGGGGAGAAAGATGGAGGGGCGTGAGAGTGTGTGTGTGAGTGAGTGTGTGAGTGTGTGTGTGAGTGTGTGAGTGAGTGTGTATGTGAGTGTGTGTGTCAGTGTGTGTTCAGATATGGACTGAGGGGTGTCTGTCCTGCACTGGCACTGAAGGCTAGGACGCATGTTGTCAGCAGCTGGGTTCCTGGCCCTGTTCTGACTATGGCATAACTTTTTTCTCTCTTTCTTTTTGTCTGTTTATGGGTTACTAATGCCAGAGGCCCCGACTTTCTGTGTTTCTACTTCTCTGCCCCATTCCACGATGGGGATTCACCCTTTTATCCCCGAGGTGTACACTGAACCTGCCAGTTCTCCAGAGGGGGATAAGAGAAGAGACTAGGAGGGTCTAGGGGACACTGCCAGGCTGCAGGCTGTGTGTGTGTGTGCCTTTGTTACTTATAGTTTTGAGGAAGGAGCACCTCTTGCTCAGTGTGGGTTGAGATGTAGGGCCAGGACAAGGGTGATATGACCAAGATGCCTTGTGTACAAAGCTTCTGAGAGTGGACCCTAGCTTAGGGCTTCTGACTATGACAGAACGGGGGTTGCATGGCCTGCTTGACCCCCCAGCCCTGGGATCATGGAGAGCAGATGGACCAGCATCCCCACCAAGTTTGGAGATGAGCAGAGCCTGGTTCCTGTTTCCTACTCTGACTGCTGGGGTTCCGTGTACACAGGGCACGTCAGAAGCCATTTAGAGGGAGGGGACGGAATGACTGCAGAGGTGCCCACAGCACTTCCTGCCTTGCACAATGATCTATAAATCCTGGGTGGTAATACAACTAGGTACTGGGTTTATCTTGCAGTGTCTTTTTATGTAGCCCTGGCTGACCTCAAACTCGAGATCCTCCTGCCTCACCCAGCTTTGTAGATATATTTTTTCCTTCCTTTAATTTCAGCCTTCATTTATTGTGATTATGTTTCTCCCACTGGGGGTTGGACCTAGGGGCTCATGCATGGGAGACAGCTACTCTACCACAGAGCTACTTCCCTGGCCCTACGGCCTCCCATCCGCCTCCTTTCCCTTTCTTCCTTTTGTTGATGTGTTGGCGCGAGCGAGCGTGTGTGTGTGTGTGTGTGTGTGTGTGTGTGTGTGTGACGGCACACATGTGGATCTCACAGGACAACTTTCAAGAGTCAGTGTCCTTCCAACTTGTACCTCTGAGGCCATTAAACTCAGGTCATCAAGCTTGGTACTGGTCCATCTTGCCAGCCATGCTGTGTGGTTGTTTTTCTGATGCTGTAACTAAGTCGTTGCCTACTCTGTCACCAGTTCAAGCACATATCCCATTACCGCTTTCTCTGATCAGTGTGAGGAGACAGAAGGATGGGGCAGATAAAGGCTATGTCTGATGTCAGGGCTTCTAAGTGGCTGCCTTCTACACACCACTTCATTTAGAGGGGAAAACGGTGCTTACAGTCACCAAGGGGTTGATGGATGGGAGACACTGGGAAGGACCTGTCACAGAGCGAGCCCTGGCCACCACTCCCCTCATCTTTGTGTGCCCTGGGGGAGGAGGGGAAGGGGATTGGGGCTCACCTCTTCCAGCGGCAGCTCCCTGAGCAGTGGCAGTGAGCTGGAGAGCAGCCCGATGAGAAAGGGCGTGGGTGAGCACACTATGTCAATCATGGCAGGCGGCAACACGGGGATGTAGGTGTGCTGCCAGCTGAAGGGATAGATGAGCGCCACCATGGCATGGCAGCACTTGGACAGCGTGCTGCAGAAGAAACAGACAGACAGAAAAGGCCGGGTCAGTGTGGGGCGGGGCAAGGCTTCCACAGCAGGGGCTAGAGAGAAGGGCCCGGATTCCTCCAAAGAAGCCTTGGTTAGGTTGGTTAAAATGAACACGACCACAAACAGCCAACACACCCACAAAAAAGTGTTCAGCGTCACTAACCATCAGAGAAGCATAAACCAAAACTACACTGAGATTCCAATGGCAAAAGCACCCGCTCACTAGAGCCGGGCGTTGGTGGCACACGCCTTTGATCCTAGCACTTGGGAAGCAGAGGCAGGCGGATCTTTGTGACCTGTAACCACCACCCAGCAGGACCCTCTGAGTGCTGGGATTATAGTGTGTGTATACACCCCATTTATGAGGTTCTAAGGATCAGTGAGGTTCAGGGCCTTGTGAATCCCAGGCAAGCACTCTAGCAACCAACCACATCCGAGGTCCCAAGCATGTCAAGGCAATCTCAAGGTAATGGTTTCCTTTGTTAACCCACCAACACAAAGGATTGCACCTAGGGCCTTCATTTTTTACCCTTTTTCTAAAAAGAAAGGTTTCAGGGTCCTAGGCTGGCTCACATTTACTATGTTACTAAGGACCATTTTGAGCTCCTGATCCTCAGGGCTCCACCTCTCAGTGCTGGACTGATTAGAGGTTCACACCCCCACACCCAGCTGGTTAAACACTCTACAGAAGTTTTAGAAGCAATTCTGGCGATAGCATTCACATTCATTTTTAGGAACAGGGCCCTGCTATGCAGCTTCGGCTGACCATAAACTGGAGACCCTCCTGTGTCACCTTCCAGAGCTCTACAATGACATACCTGGTTTAGAAGTTTGTAGCTAAAGATATTGAGCCCTAAGAAGTTTAAAGTAAACTCCAGGGCAGTTAGGGATCCCAAGAAGGCAAGCCTGTGGAAGTCAGGAGCGAGGGTGGGGGTGGATGGGGGCGGGGGAGGAGACTCTGAGAGACTCAGAGAGGCACAGGGGAGGGCAGCCTGCAATTGTCCTTTTGTTTGAGACAGGGTTTCTCTGTGTAGCTTTGTAGACCAGGCCGTCCTCAATCTCACAGAGATCCGCCTGCCTCTGACTCCTGAGAGCTGGGATTAACACCACCCACCACTACCTAGTCTATTCCTCTCTTGAAGTCATCCTCAGAAGAAAGCAGCTCTAGCACTTTGTGCTGACTTTAAAGCCAGCAGGGGCTTCTGGGAACCCGGAACTTCAGCTGCACTGACTGCAAACTAAGTAGACAGACGGGAAGGTGGGGAGATAGTTGGATCAACGTTAGGAAAAATCCGTGCTGACGCTAGGTGCACAGGACAGGTGAAGGAGATGAAATTCCCTCTGAAGCAGAATGCTCTGAGCTAAAGGATAACCGAATTCCTTTACTTCCTTTACTCCTCGTAGTGCCCATGACGGAACCCCGACCCTGTATTCAGCTCTGGTGAGGATGCAGCTGGGTAACCCGCTGGCCGTGTGGGTAAGGACGGCCACTCACAACCATTTCTTGAAAGGAGTATTCAGGATTTCCTCTGCTTAATGCTGAGTGAAGGGACACCAGCCCACTGGAGGCCCATGCTGGGTGCGTCTTGCCCCTCCCCCATTCTTTCCACCTCGATAGAAAACGGTTAGATTACACTCCTGAATCTAGCCCCCAAGTCCCTTATTTGGCCACCCTCCCTCCGCCCGCCCCCCCAAGGCTAACTACCATGGTCTAACAAAGTATTGAAGCCCAGCATCAAAAGCCCCCTTTGGCTCACCTAATTAAAATTCCAATTAAAATTAAACACTTCATCCTAACATGGAGTTTCCCTTGTACCTTTATGAACTGCCATTTTCCTATGAGCCCAGTCTGTCACCTCTCTATCCAGAGGCAGCCCTGTGTCCCCTCTGGGACAAAGACCCCTGCTACCCCTTCCCTTCCCCTTCTTCCTCTTCCTGTATCTCCCGCCTTTGTTCCTTATCCCTGCCCGCTGTTCCTCTGGGGCAAATAATTCTCCTTTGTGCTGAGACCTTGGTCTTGGGGTCCTGAGCCACTACTTTTCCTACAAGAGCCTTTAACACAGCTGAGGGCCAAACATCCCCACACCTGGTTACCAGCAGCTGGTTAGCCGTACAGGAGGGAGGAAACACTGGACTCTCTGGCATCACGACAGGCAGGCAGCTGTGGAGACCTCAGGCCTCTTGCTCTATCCCAGTCACCACCTTTAAAAACTCTGTTCTGGGCAACACGGAAAGGAAAGGTTGGATTCTGTAAATTCTGCGGTAGTGACCGCTCTTTCTCTAACACAAGTGGCAGAGAAGACATGAAGGGCTCTGAGCACAGCTTGTATGTTTTCCTCAATTACCGCAGTCAGTGCTGATGGACTTTCATGTGCTCGGTGGGGCAGAGGGTGGAGCTCCAAAGAAAAAGGGAAAACAGAGGCTAAGGGGAAGTTCTTGGAGGAAGCCTCAGGCAGAGTCTGAGCACCTCACGAGCATTGGCTGTTGCAGGAGAGGCAGCATTTGTGAAGGCTGGTCTTGCACAGCTGGCTCCCATTACTGTGAGGGTGGAGGAACCTCCAAGCTCCTACAGCTGTGACCAATTGTGCAGTGTGGGGGAGGAGAGAGTACCCCGGTGGGAAGGTGGCTGGGCCAGAGGGCTCAGTGATAGATGCAGGTGAGAGGGGCCAGGTCTCAGGATGTTTCCTATTGGGAGGTAGTTTCTAAGGGCTGAAGCATTGTTCTGGAACATCAGGGTGTGTCTGTTGAGTATTAACATCTGGAGAAGATGTTTCAGTTCTGGGTGCTTGGGTTCCTGAATTAGATACCCAGGAACTGCTCAGATGGTGATTCGGTGGGTACCCTCTAGCCTCCAGAACAACGCATCTCTCCAGCCACATAGCACACAGGACAGGAATGAAGGGCAAAACTCAGGTTGTCCTGAACGTGATGAAGACTCCCAGGCAGTGGGTATAGCCTGCCAAACAGGACAGCCATGGTTCCCTGCCTGCACCTTTAGCTCTCAAGTAACATGTCACTGAATTTAAAAGGCACACAGGCTGGCCCTCAAGAGGGCTGGCTCTGTTTTCTGTGTGACTTCCCCTGTGAAAGACGTGAGCAGCCTAGAAGAGGCCCCTCCAGCTTTAGCACCCACAAAGAACGAATCTATACAAGATGGCACATCCAGGGGCTAAAAACGGGAACTTTCTCCTGAGGCCACAAGCTGAGACCAGGATATCACAGTAAGGCTTGTTAGCATGCCTGGACCCAAGAATGATGGTGACATGGAACTCTGAGGAACTGAGATGGCCCTGATATTTGGAGGGTCTGATCTCCTTAAGGAAGCCCTGAAGAGGAAGGCAGACAGAGGATGCATGACTCCAAGGAAAGAGCTGGAATGTGTCCTAGCCAAGGACACTTAGTGATGGGTTGGAGGACAACAGCATTTATGCATGGCTTTGTTAGCCTCTAAGTGGTGCTCCAAAGGCTATCTTCCTGGTGTTCATATTACAAACCAAGGGAGTTTGTATCTAGTTAAAATGTACCCTTGCCCTGTTGAGACAGGGTCTCGTATTTCCCAGGGTGGCCTCAAACTATGCACTGAGAATGATTCTGAATTCCACATCCTCCTGTTCCCTAGTATCAGGATTGTAGGTGTGGCCCACCACGCCTGGTTTTATTAGGTGCTAGCTAGGGATTGGAACGTAGGGTTTATTGCATGCTAGGCCAGCCAGCTAAGGTTGGTCTCCAGCTAGTGACATTTAGTGACTGTTTTTCAGTGCTGAGGAGTGAACAATTGTTAGGCAAGTACTCTACCAGTGTGCTGTTTTCTCACCTATGACTTTGTAATTGTAGTATCGTGCTATTAAAACATTTTCTTTTCATAGAGCTTTGCTAAATTAAATGTTTTTTGTTTTTTTGAGACAGTGTTTCTCTGTATTGTTTTGGAGGCTGTCCTGGAACTCCCTCTGTAGACCAGGCTGGCCTCGAACTCAGAGATCCACCTGCCTCTGCCTCCCGAGTGCTGGGACTAAAGGCGTGCACCACCACTGCCCGGCATTTTTTTTTTTTTTTAAACTCTTATCAACTACCCTGAGAACCTGCGGGATCCTCACAGTGTCTTTTTTTTTTAAGAGTTATTTATTTATTATTATGTATACAGTGTTCTGCCTACATGTATGCCTGCAGGCCAGAAGATGGCACCAGATCTCATTATAAACAGTTGTGAGCCACCATGCGGTTGCTGGGAATTGAACTCAGGACCTCTGGAAGAGCAGCCAGTGCTCTCAACTGCTGAGCCATTTCTCAAGCCCCACAAAGCATAGTATTTTGGGTGCCAGAACACAAAGGTAGTGGGTATCGCTACTGCTTGCAGACTTGAGATGGCTAGCTGTGCTGAGTGTAGCTGGCTAGCTTGTAGAAACGGAGTAAAAAGTGAACCAAGAGGAATAAACAAAAGAATGACTATATACAGCCGAACATGAACTTATTTGTGTAGTTATCTATGTGTGAAACTCAAGATTCACACACCACTGGTCAAGATTTGGTCACCTCATCCTACTCAGTATTAGATGAACCCTTAGCTTATGATGATTATTTTGTATATAAAAAGATAGAATAGGGCTGGAGAGATGGCTCAGAGGTTAAGAACACTGCCTGCTCTTCCAGAGGTCCTGAGTTCAATTCCCAGAAACCATATGGTGGCTCACAACCATCTATCTGTACGGAAATCTGGTGCCCTCTTCTGGCCTGCGGGCATACATGCAGACAGAATGCTATATACATAATAAATACATTTTTTTAAAAAAAAAGTTAGAATATTGAATATTAAACACATTGCCATTTCAAACGTTTATATGAACTTGCTTATGTGCAACCCTGGCTACAGGCCATCCTGGTCTATAGGTTTGGCTGAAGCTGTTTAGAGCTGGAATTAGTAAATAAAAAACAAAATGTTTATCATAAAGGAAATGAAGACGGGTATAGGGAAATATTTATCTGGGTTGTTATGGCGACAGAACAAGCCATCATAACAGCATTCTTTGCTTTCCATCTCAAGCTTGAGCTTGACAGAGTCTTTAGAAACACTCAATATCCACCCTAAAGATGAAACAGCACAAAAATGTTATTTTAAATTTGATAGGTTTTTGGCTCAACTTAAAACCCTTCTGTAACTCTGAGTGTTTGCCACTGACTCCCAGCAAGTTTCTCTCGCAGTGCCCAGCCAGACTCCACAGCAAAGATAACTAAATGCACTGTGGGGGAGGGGAGAGCCTGTTGGGGGCAGCGAAGGTCACCAGGGATGTCACAGGGCCACTCCCTGGGTTTGTCACAAATCCTGTTCTCATGCTCTGCTGTGGCCTCACTGAGACTTGGGCACAGAAGCAAAAAGAACTAGGAGAGGCCTCCTCCCACTCTCAGCTGAGCAGGACTGTGAGTCCACGGGTGTTCAGTGTCTCAGATGAAGAAGACAGCAGCTGGGAGGCTAATGATTTTCTTCTTGGAATCTTTCAGTTCAAGAAACTCACACAGCCAGCCTGCTCCCCAGGCCCTTGTTTGTTAAGACCTGGACAGAGAACCTGCAGTTCTGTATGGCTACTACCCATTAATCAAACAGAACAGAGTAGATTCTGCCACCATGCCTATGAACCAGAGAGCCAGGAGTCTTGGAGGTTTCTGGCCCACAGAGCCTGATCATTTCAGATCTGAGAGAAACCTGGAGGATTCCCAGTCATACCTACCCACGGGGGCCCCTGTTGGAAGGCCACTGAGAGAAAGAAGGATGGTTCTGGAGAAAAACACTTAGCTTTCCCAGCCATGAAAGAAAGAAAAAGAATCTAGTACTTTTTCAAGACAGGCTCTCGCTCTGTCGACAAGGCTAGCTTGAAACTGGAAACCATTCTACCTCAGCCTCCACCTTCTGGGATTATAGGCAGCACTCACCGGCACACCCTCTAAGGGATCTGGACACACAGGGCCCCAGAGTCTGTCTTGTCATATGTCCTACCAGTGCACTGCAGCTCCTAGTTCCCTTGACGTTTGCTCCATTAATAGGCAGCCCTCCTACACATGGCTTCCTTCAGCAAAGTGAGCTAACTGATGTTCCTTCCAGGGCCCCGACCCAGCACCTGTGTGACATGTCAGCAGGCAGGTGAAGGCTGCACACTTAGTCCTCAGTCCCTACAGATGTGCTCATTACTCTTTCTTTTTCCAAACAAAAAAGTATATTATTTATTTAAAGACAGGGTTTCTCTGTGTAGTCTTGGCTGTCATGGAACTTGCTCTGTAGACCAGGCTGGCCTCAAACTCAGAGATGCACCTGCCTCTGCCTTCCGAGAGCCAGGATTAAAGCTGTGTGCTAACATGCCTAGGTTAAATTAAAAATACTATGTGTTATTTTGCCTGCTTTATGTCTGTGTATCTTATGTGTGCCTAATGCCTGTGGAGGCCAGAAGAGGGCGCCACCTGCAGTGCTTGAAGAAGTCATTCCCTGTAACTGGAGTGACAGATGGCTGTGAGCTGCCATGTGGGTGCTGGGAGTCTTCCTTCGGAAGAGTAAGTGCTCTTAACCACTAAGCCATCTTTCCCGTCTGAGCTCATTGTTTTCCCTTTCTTTGCTGTTTTGAAACAGGCTCGTATACAGCCCAGGTTAGCCTCAAATGCCTTATGCAGCTGAGACTGAACTTCAACTTCCAGTTCCTTCCTACATGTAGTATGCAGTGACTACAGGTGTGTGTCACCACAGCCAGTTCACAGTGTTGGGGACTGAAACCAGGCCTTTAAGCATGCTAGGCAAACTCTCTGCCAACTGAGTTACTCCCCCAGCCCCTGTGTTCATCACTCCAGTCAGGTTTTCTTCTCTTCCTATTTCAGAGTTCTATAAGTCACTATTTATTTTGCCCATTTAAATCTGCAAGAGACTAGTGTAATATGTATAATTAGTTTTCTGGGCAAGAGGGAGCCATGTTTAACAGAAAAAGTGTCTGCCTGCGAGGAAAACAAGACACTGGAGCCCCAAAAGTCAGAGTCTCCAGCGCTCAGTCAATCCCCATGCCCTACAGATATGGAGACCCAGGATGAAAGGCTGAGTGTAGTGTTCAGGGTCCCTCCTGCTATGGGAAAACTCCCGGTGTGATCCGAGAAGGCTGTGCACGTGTGGAAGCTGTATAGAAGCTAAAATGCAATTTAAGATGGGACGCAGCTCGCCAGCCTGGGAGAAGCCCTGGGTTCCATTCCACATAAACTGGACTTGTAATTCCAGCAGCTGGGAGGCAGAGGCTATCTAGAGTATCTAAGGCCAGCCTAGGATACACGAGACCATGACTCAAAAATAAATAATAAAAATGAAATTAAGACAGTTTATATACACAGGCATATATGCACATTAGTTACTATAAAGCCAGCTTCGGGCCCCAAAGAGGGCATAAAAATTAGCCATATTCCTGCTGCTTTGTCCTTCCGTACAAGAAGCTCCCTCTGTGGCATCCAACGGCTGCTGCAAAAGTCACCAGGGACTATTTAAGTGGCCCTTTCCTGCCATATGCTGTCTACAGTTACTGTATCTCCAAGAGCAGAATGGCAGACCCCGTGGAAGGTGAGGAGAGAAACTCTGAAGGCCCTCCTGGGGAACTAGCTGAGGTCCCAGAGCACAGCCCACCCAGGAGCAAGGGGATTTACCTGTTCAAGGGGGCTGACCAGTGTCCAAGCTGCCCACTCAGAAGTCTGTCTAGGGAGAGGCAGGTGGGTCGCACTCTTTTCTAGACACGTTGGTAGAATGATTCCCCAGGTTTTCTAACACACAGAGCCCATGTGCTGTTTGGGCATCTGCTACTACCTTTCCTTTCACTGTAACTGACCCGAAAATTTATATTTGGTTGGCCTGCTCAGCTCCCCCGAACTCACGATCTTGGGCATTTTCTTTAGCTTAGCCTCCCTTGGTCCAACACCTTCATCCCAGAAGTTGGTCCCCTAGAGTCTGTGTCCCCAACTCCACTCCTGGAGGGTTCTTGCCAAGACCTTTTTAAAATCCATCCCCCTCCCCCAAATCCAAGCCTTGAGAATCTAAGGGAATGGGGGCTGTTAGGGAGAGGGGAGTGGGCCTTTCAGAACATGGACAGTTACCATGGAGCCATTGAAACCCGATCCTGGTCACTAAAGGGTTATCACTCATCCCCAGCTTCCAGGGCCCCAACATGGAGAACCCTCTGTCTGAATTCCCCAGTGCCCAGGAGCTTGGAGAGCTGCCCAGCTCCCAGCACCAGCTGCAGGCTGAAGGCAGGGCCCTGCTTCCTGAGCTGACATTTAAAAGTGAACAGAGATCAGACATGAGATGGGGGCAGTCAGGGAATAGCCAAATGGCAGCTGTCCAAAGAGGACCGGCATAAAGGTGACCAGATGGCCACGGTGGAGGACGGGGGCGGGGCTGCGCTCTGCCCCTAATGAGCTCCATGCTGAAACATGCTGTCCTTTCCATTATTCTGTTCCCTCTCGTCTCTCCCCCTTTTGTTCTCCACAGCTCAGAGTCACATCTCCTCTCCAGACCACAGGCAGTGCTGCTTTTCTTGTTAGTTTCTGGAGTGTCTTTTTCCCAATGAACTCTTCTCAGGTGGCTGAACACTACTTCACCCAGTTGGTGGCCCCAATCTTGGCCCTTCCTGGAGTGGCAGCCATTCTCTCAGTTTAAAGAAAGCCAATGTTTTGGCAAAAAAAAATTTTTTTTTTACATATATTTATTGTGTGTGTGTGTGAGCATGTAATGCACACATTCACAGAAGTCAGACAACAGCTTGCAGGAGTAGGTTCTCTCCTAGCACTACGTAGGTCCTGGGGATTGAACTCAGGTTGTTTAGCTTGGTGGCAGGCTTCCTTATCTGTTGAACCCAAGTCAGTGATTTTATTTGTTTTGTTTTTTAAATAAGGTCTTACTGTGTGGACCATGCTGCCCTGAATTCACAGAAATCCGCCTGCCTCTGCCTCTAGAGTGCTGGGATGAAAGGCGTGTGACGATGAAAATGATGAAAAGGAATTTTCCCTTTGCTAGAAGTTCAGGATCTATCGGAATTCTTAGTTCCTTCTGGATCTTCTCGGATTTATGATGTGGCCTTTTGATTCAGAGAATGTGATGAATGGGGTGTGGATGGCATCCTATGGGGAAGGTGTGTGTGTGTGTGTGTGTGTGTGTGTGTGTGTATGTATGTGTGTGTGTGTGTGTGGTTTGTATGGTTTAGTTTAATCACAAACAGGGAAGGGAGTGCAGGGTAAGTCTGTGCTCTTTTGAGTAGTCTTGTGGTCTTTCCCTGAGCTGTCCCTTGTCCTCTCTGCCTGCTCGTCTCCTCCTGACCAACCTCGTTCTCCACTCCAGTCATGAGCTGACTCACATCTCTTGAAGACAAGTTCAGCCTCTCCCGATTCCTCACCTGCCCACAGACACACGCTCTTGGACTAAGTCAGAATCTGCTCCAGCCTTTGCCACGGGCACTCTCTGCACTACAAGCGCTTCCCCACACAAGGTCCCCCACTGGAATGAGAACTCTGGAGGGCAGGCCCACATAGCTGTCACCTTGGTTTCTCTCACATACATAGAGTGCCCAGTTCACAGTGTGTCACACAGGAAGCAGTCCTGCCTTCTTTTACACCATGAGTGTGCCTCCCAGGCCTCCAGGTCATCCTCGTTCCCCAGGAACCCAAGCCCTACACCCTTGAGAGTCTAGACTGAGCATCATTTCCACTTATATCAGAAGTAGCAGAGGCTGGTACCTGAGTTTGTCTGCAATGAAGATGACCCTCCTTTCCAGAAGCAGGGAGGCAAAAACACTGACCAAGTGTCGGACGCTGAGGGAGGAGAATAGAGACTCAAAATCCACGTGCTCCAGCCGGGAGTCCAGTGGGCGGCACAGCTCAATCACCTGCCAGGGAATGAAGGTAGCTTTGAAGGCCGGCTTACACAGTAGGCCTCCCTGGGGAGGAGGAGAATGAACGGCAGAGGCCGTGGCCCCCGGCCATATAAGGACACTCCTCCTGGAAGAGCATACCTGGATGCCTCTTGGATGGTTTATGTTGAAAATGACCTAGCCTCAAAGTCCTGAGGGAAATCCTGTCTTCTGAAGGCCTGTTACTGCAGGAAGAAAATCCCAGGCCTATGCATGTAGCCCAGGATGGCTTCAAATATTCTCCATAGCTTAGGCTGGCCCTGAACTATTAATTAATTTATTTGTGTGTGTGTGTATTTATTTATTAAAGTGTCTGTGTGACGACTGTAAAGTGATGAGTGTGTATGAGTGCACATACATGTGTGGAGATCAGAGGATACTTTCCAGGAGTCGGCTCTCCTCTCCCACAGTTGGTTCCAGAGATCAAACTCAAGACATTGGCTTGAGCAGTTAGTGCTTAAAAAAAACAAAAAACAAACAAAAAAAAACTATGTTTAATGTGTATGGGTGTCTTTGCCTGCATGTATGTGCACCATGCGTGCAATGCGGAGCCCAAAGAGGCCATCAAATCCTCTGGAACTAGAGTTACAGATGGTTATGAGTCACTATGTGGGTACTGGGAATCGAACCTGGGTCCCTTGGAAGAGCAACCAGCACTCTTAACCACTGAGCCATCTCTCTAGCTCCAGGGCCTTGATCTCCTGATCCTCTTCCCTCCACCTTCCAGAGGTGGGATTACAGGTGTGCACCACGGTGCCTAGCTCATGTCAATCACTTCTCTGTGTGTTCCTAGTTTTTAAGCCTGCTGCGTTTATTGTCTTGTTCCTCACTTGCTCGAATGTGCCCTGGATTCATTGCATGCTGCATGTGAGACTCTACGCTTCTCTGGGAAGAGCCAGCTGACTTCTGTATAGTGACATCAGTAGAAACTAGGTTTTCCTTCTGCCACAGCCCTCACTTAGTACTCTCCGCAACTGGGGCTCCCAAACTCGTAACCTCCAGCTACAATCCCACGGCCAAGCTTTGTAGCCTCCAGCTACAATCCCATAGCCAAGCTTTGTAACCTCCAGCTACAATCCCATAGCCAAGCTTTGTAACTTCCAGCTACAATCCCACAGCCAAGCTTCCTACACCTGTATGGAAAGGTTCTGGGTTTCCCAACAACTTCTCAGTGCTGGACAACTGGGTTGATCTGGTATGTCCCGATGCACCCTCATCTCTTCTTGTGTCTAGAAGCAACTGGTTTACAGCAGAGGTCCAAGGTTGGAAGGGACCAGTGTTCTCACGTTTACAAGGGCTACATGATGTGAAAAGTAAAGAGGAAAACCAAGTTCCTCATCAGGTCCTAGGGTCTGACCAAGTAAACGACAGGCTTCGAACCCTCAGGTACATATTAAGTGGTACCCAAGATAGTCTTCACTGGAAAGAACAGTTCGAGTTGTAAACTTACAAAGTGATGCAGACTCAAAACGTGAATAGCCCAAGAAGACTGAAGATGGACTATGGACTCCGAAAGAAGCCACGGAAACACAGCGCACGTCTCCACAGAACCGCATGCTGTACACCATGGCTCTTGTGGGTTGCTCCCTGGGGCCAAGCCTGGGCTGGAGAGACTGGAGACTGAGGGTGGAGTTTATGAGGAGTGACCAAGGAAACCACTGAGCTGGATGCCCTGCTGAAAGACATAGCCTCTCCAGCCACAGGGACTTGGCTGGCCAGGCCACCTGTTCTCCTGAGAGGAAAGACAAGTCTTTGACAGCTTACCTCAGTCCCCGAGCCTGGCAGGAAGTTCTTGACAATGATGGTTTTGCCCAGGGCTGGGAAGGGGGCTTCCATGACACTCCTCATGAGGGGCTGCACCAGAGCAGGGGAGATGCCTCTTCTCTTTTCCACCTCGTCCAAGATCTGTCAGAGTCAGAAAAGCAGCTCAGCCATTCTGAAATCTGGGCCAAGGTATGCTCAGCTCTACTACGGTGGGCCTGCGGCAGTGACTCAAGAATTCAGGGGGTGGAAGGGTGGGAGCTCATGAGGTGCCATTTGCTCCTGACTCTACATACTGGCCCCAATACTTCTCTTCTGTGTCCCTTTATCATGTGACTTTGTAGTTCATACTACTTATTAATAGGGGAAACCATAGTTTCTTCTTTCTCTTTGACATGACATGTGACTTACCGGGCTACTCCAAATACATTTTTTTCTTTTAAATCCTTGGCCTCGGGATCAAGCCAAGGGCTTTGTGTGTACTAGGGACTGAACCCTTCCTCCCTTCTCTCATCTGTGCCTGTCTCTGTCATCGTTTAAATGTATTTGGTCCCCATAAACTCATAGGGAGTGGCACTATTAGGAGGTGTGGCCTTGTTGGAGGAAGTGCGGTCTTGTTGAAGGAGGCTGCATGAAACAAGCCTTTAATCCAGACTTTGAGGCTGGAGGGCACACCTTTAATCTGGCCCACACCTTCTGTTCCAGAAGTGTGTCTCTGTGGGGTTGGGCTTGGAGGTCTTTTTCTCAAGCTTCACTCAGTGTACAGTCAGTCAACTTCCTGTTGCCTGCACACTGCCTCCAGCTCCAGCAGCACATCTGCCTGCAGGCCGCCATGCTCCCCTTCATGATGAGATAATGGAATGAATCTCTGGAACTGTGAGCCACCTCAATTAAACCTTTTCCTTTGTAAGAGTTGCCGTTGTCATGGCGTCTCTTCACAGCAAGAGTAAACCCTACCTAAGACAGTCTCTGTCTCTCCTTCAGGACACAGTCCTTAAAATCCTCTTTCTTGACAGGGTTTCTCTCTCTATAGTCCTGGATGACCTTGAACTAGCAATCCTCCTGCCTCAGCGTCTCCAGAGCTGCAGTTATAGGAGTGAGCCCCCATGGCCACACCCTTCATCACCTCTCATTTCTTGAGCCAATGATGAGAGAAACTGAAGAGAAGTGGGGAGAGGGCAAGGACACGATGAGCAAAATAAAAGATGGAAAGCAGCAGGAGAGGCCGCTGTTTCCTGGATCCCTCTGGTCCTGTCTCGTTCTCCCATCCTCTCTCTGGACAAGTTCTCACCTTTGAAAAGAGGCTGAAGCATCCCAGGCGGCTCACAATGCAATAAACTTCAGGAAGTCGCTTCCCTTTGCCTCCAGGCTTTTGGGAGAGAAACATAAGGGCATGATGAGTGTCAGCATCACCCCACTTTACCATTCAGAAGTCTGTTAAAATTCTCCATACAGCTCCCTCTTTCCTTCCCTCCCTCCCTCCCT